GGCAAAATGCACACACATTTCTGCCAGTTTCTGCAGGCTACTTATAGGGCAGCCTATTTATTTCAATGGGCTGCCCTGAGTGAAAAAAATGCAAAAGAAGTCCCTGACCCTTTTGCTAAATCACGACACTTCAAACTGCATGGTGTTGCGGCACAATGCATTTTGCTGCACGAAAAAAACATGGGCTTTAGATGCATGGGGGTATCATTAAAAAGTAATGGCACAGTTGTGTGTCTGCCAAAGTGCAGCTTGTTTCTGTGCGTGTTGGAAAAGAATGTGATTTTGCATGTGCACAAAGTGTGAACCCTAAAGCTGCTTACACACTATAAGTTATTTTTTTGTTCAAGCCAGAAGGCTGAACGAAAAAAACTGAAGGGCTCAGGAGGTGATCCTGTACTAACAATCTGGTAGTTGTACAGCAATCTCCCTGCAGAGCTATTGTGTTCCAGCCATTGGCTGCCAGCATTGATCGGATGCTGATTGCATGCTGGTTTTCCAGCATGCCCATTCTGTCATAAGCTGGCCGGCTTCTGTCGGACAGGTGGGTGTACACACAGGCCAAATGTTGGCCGCTTGCTAATGAAACTGGATATTCGGCCGATGTGTATGGGGCTTAAGATACCATTTAGATACTTTATTTCCACTTTTTGAAAACATGAAGTACCATAACTATAGACTTTCATTCAGAGTCCTTGTTTCCAACTAGGTGAAAGATGTGTGATTATGTGACTTTTATTAAAAGACAGAATAAACGACAACAATATAATGTCAGCGCTGTTACAAATTTTAGACTGATACTGAAGATCACAAGAAGCAGGCAGAGTAGAAAAAAACTGCAGTATAAACAGGGGATGGCGAGATTATACTTACTGCGACAAGTTTTCTTATCTGGATTCAGCATAAATCCAGAACGACACTGACAGATGTACGAGTCGTCAGTGTTCACACACTCGTGTTGACAACCATGAGTACCCAAGGCACAATAGTTTACAACTACAAAGAGAAATAAAAGCACATTTTCAGAAACATTAAATACATGTAAAAGAACTGTACATTACAGCAGCTAAACAGGCAATTAAAATGCCCAAATGTGAACTTTATTTTGCCAAATCTTAGCTCTTTCCTGTGAAAGTTGAACTTGACATGGCCTGATTCTCCCTATGGCTCCAGAATGTTGCTAATTCCATTGAAGGAGATGGGGCAAAGCAGGACGAGCAAATAACTTCAGATGCTTGTATCGCTAGATCTACTAATCATTCTGAAGGTAACCTCAGCTTAAGAACAATATATTTGAATTGCTGAAAAGTCTGAGAGAAGTTTGTTGAAAGCTGAACTCTGAGATAAGCAAATATTATCTAAATACAAGAGCCATATGTATTCTTACTTGAGTCTTGGTGTGCTTTGTGTATTTCTTCCAGATCTGTGCAGTAATTCAGTGTGAAATGTTGTCTCTGTGCAGGAGCTTCCTGTATTAAAGACCACTCACTGCAGCTTTCTCATTGTGAAGGGTGGCTGGTCTTGTCTCCGCCCCCTCCTGTATTTTCTGCAGGTAGCTTGTAGTGGGTGGACCTATCTGATCCCTCCCAAAGCTCTGCTCTATGTGTGGAGCACAGTAATGATGTCACTGCTACTTTTTCAAGTTAATATCTGGCTTTCCAAAGGCATTTATGGCACACAAAGTGATTTTTTTTTTTTCCTTTGTGGCTATTGAGGAACATATTAAAATGATAGTTTTTGTGCCCAGAGTTCAGCTTTGAGATGCATGACGCAACATAATATGCAGTATGCATTGAACGTTTTTAAAGAAAAAAGCTCCTATTAGCACAGGCTACAGCCTCTGATCAACAAAGGTTTTTAAGCATGTCCCTACCTTTGAAAGAATTCAATGAAACAATCAACTTCTATGGAGCAGGGACCACTCTGATTGGTCCCTGCTGAAGCGGCCAAATTTCGATCAGTATATAGCCAGCTTTAAGCCTCATGCACACTGGGCATCATGACGACAAATTTAAAGGGCATTTGCCTATTTTTCTGCCTCAAAACACCCTCTATGTTAGCCTGTATCCAGGCAAACATGGGCATTTACAGGTGTTTAGAGTAAAGGGCATTTAGAGGCAGAAATAAAAAACATCAGAGCCAGCGTGTTCAGGAGAAGAGTGTTTTGCTATCTGAAAATGTCTGAAGCACCTAAACGCGTGTAAACGTGCCTAAACGAGTGTTAACGCTTGGCACGTCAAGAACTTCAACATTCACTCATTTCAATGGCAAGAATAAATTTATATTCTGGCCAGTGAAATGAATGACGTGTCTAAACGTGTCCGCAAAAATGTGGCTTTAGGTTTTTGATGCTGCTTTTCTCCTCCTGCCAGGAGCAAGGCGTTTTAGAACAACTGGGCAAACACCCAGTGTGCATGGGGCCATAGGGAGGGTGGTAGCATCTGACAGTTTGATCTCTTTGCTTAGTCATGTGTTGGCTCACTCTGTGTTCCTACTATATTCTTACAGCATAAAATAGTTGCAGCTGTCCCACTTTCTGTGAAGTTCTTCGAAGTAGCTAAAAACCTTTTTAAATAGCTGTGCCTTAGCAACAAGGATTCCATAACATCATTGGGAAGGGACTCTACTCACAAGTCATCATCAGTTACACACTGTCATTCATCCAGATTGCTCTGACCCCAGGTCATCCGGGAATCCTTTACTTTATATTGCAAGGGGAAGATGCAACTCACATCTCCAAATAGAGAAAAATACTTCTAGTGCATTAAATATAAAACAATCTAAAAAAAATAAACCCTTAAAATCCCACTAGAAATGCCAACATGACCATGCCTGTCCAGTTTTGTTTATTAGTCTTTATCAGATGGTGTCAGCTGGCTTCAGACTCTCCCTTTTAAAACCACATTTAAGGTAGAATTCCAGCATAAACCTAACCCCCCCAACATGTATGCTGCTTAACCTGTGTAAAAAAGATGCGTATTCTTACCTATTTTCAGCCCACTCTGGTCTGGTTACATGATTCAGGCCCCATGTGTCAGCCAGCGGTGACTGCAGGGGAGAGTAGGGAGCGCCAACAATGGCTGGGACACGAGAGCCTATGGGTGACGTCACCACTCCTGGATTTCCCAGCTAATCTTGAGTGCTCTCTCCCCTGCAGCCATCACTGGCTGACATTGGATCATGTGACCTGAGCAAACCTCAATGGCCTGAAAATAAATAAGTATATACTTTTTTTTTTTTACACAGGTTAGTTTGCATAGCTTTTAGGAGGGGGGAGGAGACATTTTTAAGACTAGTTAGGTTTGGGCTGGAATTCTACTTTACTATACCGTTTTATTTAACCCTTATACCACTAATCTACTAGCCATATCTAAATTAAGGTCACCATACACTACAAACCCTCCCTGTAATATAAATCTGAAAGGTCCCTTGGATGGCCCTGGGTGAGAGGAATCTGGCTGTAATTGGTGATGACTTGTGAGCTGATGCATGGAAGTTGATCCACAAAACAGTTTTTTGACCCCAAGGTGGTCAGGCAGTTCTGATGCGTGTGCCTCTTCTCCTTGATGTTGTTTAGGAATCCTGACTGCTATGGAGCATCTGTTTGAAAAAGTTTTGACTTTGATCTACTGTATCTTTGCTTCTATGTGAACGATTTCCCCTCACTTCCTGTTCCCCGGGCACCAGAGATGGCCTTTAAAGTGAATGAACACATTAGTTAGTCTACAACTTACCTTTACAAGACTTCCCATCTTTGCCAAGCTCATAGGCCTCATAGCACTGGCACATGTAGGACCCTGGTGTGTTCACACAGATTTGCTGACAGCCATGGGACGCTGAAGCACACAGGTCCTGAGCTATACAAGAGAGACAATTAATAAATGCATTTAGATGTCAGAGCCATTCTGCTGCTACTGATCTCTTCCTTCTTGCATTGTCCAGTCACATTGCAGAGATCAATCATTGTTAAAGGTAAAGCACAGAGCATTTTCATTGAGCACATATTTTGAGATGACATTGCTGTGCTTGCTTTAAAATGAACCTGAGCTCAGCCCATCCAAGGCAACAGGTTCATCTGAATTCCTCATTCCTGATAGCAGCACATGCTCACCTTTCTTTTGCTCCCCTGCTGCTCCATTCAGCCACCAGAAGAGAGAAAAAAAATCCCTGTATAAGCTCAATGTCTTTTCAGTTGGAGAGCAGGCAGGCATTAATCGCATGCTAAAAATTCAACATGCTGGTTGTACCCAAGTCGATTAATAGATCAACTTGGGAACATTCAGCCTGCCCAAAGATGGCTTGATTATTGGCTGGTCCCTGCTGAACCAGCCAAGATTCATTCCAACTATGGCCATCTCTGCAAATGGGGTTGTGCAGAGCTGAGACTCTGCCCACCCCCCTGTGACAGCACTGGCCCAATTACCAAGTATTAGTGCTTACATATGGAGTGGTCACATGCTTCTTCATGCCAAGAAATACCTGGATTTTTCTTCGCTTTCAGCAGGTTGACAGAGTGGCAGGGGAGCAAAGGAAAATTGAGTGTGTTCTGCTGGGGAGGAGGGCATTAAAGGATAAGTGCACTTTTACACAATGTCTCTCAGAGGTTCAGGAGACAGCCCCATAGATGTCTACTAAGATAGACTGTGGGACATGGTATATCAACATTGCCCCAGCTGTGAAAGTAAGGTAGATTTGTATCCTAAACAGGGTAGGGTGGGCTAATTTAGGCCAGAAGTGCTAGACAGGTCAGATCAAAAATTACAATTTACGTAAAACTGCACTCCAATAAGACGGACATGTTACTTTGCATGGGCAAAGAAAAGATTAGCTTTCAGGAGTGAACAGAAACCCTTGATTACCCTCCTCCTATGGGGTCATCCCAAGAGAGTACAGCCCCATTTTTCTCCTATATTATTTTTATTACAGAATTGTAGATTTACCATTGCACAACGCAGACATAGAGACATAGCTAACTTACCTCTGCAGGTCTTCTCATCAGGGTTCAGGATGTATCCTTGCTTGCATCTACACAGGTATGAGAATGGAGTATTGATACAAAAGTGATCACAGCCATGTTCAGACGTGGAACACAAATGAGGGGCTATGAGGAAATGAGAGAAGACCAAGGTCACAAAAGATCCAGTATTCACAAAAACTGCATCACTAAGCCATAAGGATCTATCAGCACAACAATAATGATGACTTACAAAAGTAGGAAACGCTTGTTATTTCACAATGCAATGTTCCAGTCTTTTGGAAAATCTACACATGACACAATGATAGTAAAGCAAAAAAATCCTCAGTGAAAGAATGTTGCATCATTTGTCAGTGTGAAGGAAATTATGTTGGGTTCTGGCTATGCATCACTGAGGACCTACAGGTTCCTCACTATCCCTCCTGTCAGCACCCCATCAGTCTTCCTTCCCGTTCTGACCTTGCTAAGCAGCCTATTATTGAGTGTTATCTGCTGTTTTAGTCAAAAGTATAAAAAATATAAGCAAAACTCCAAAACATAGCTCCTTTAACATATTTAACATGGTAAAAAAAGAAGAAACGGCAAACATTGATGTCTCCACCCGTAACCACCGTCCTTGACACGTTTCACCATTTCTTGTTTTCACACAAGGATAGGAAAAGTCATTTTTGGCTAATTAAATACAGAAAGTAGAGCTAAGTTTTGGAGTATGGCTTATATTTTTTATACTTTTGCCTTTCGGTAGAGATGGGCTGTGAAAGTCAGCACCCAGGTATCCGCGTGGGATGAAAGGAGCAAGTCTGGAGCGGAGCCGTGGGTTTGGGTATATAACTACAGTTTTAGGCTACAAACAAAATACTGGCTTCAGAGAAATTCTTTGAGTGCTAATGGTTTTTCTGGAAATTAACATTTTAGCAGTTAAATCATATCTATGGTCAAAATCTAAAGACATTCTAATAATTTCCACATTGTATTCAGTTATTTCTAGGCTATTCCCATTAATTTGAATTGGGTCTCATGTACACGGGGCATATGGAAAACTTTTCTGAACGATGGAACCTGACTGCTGGAAAACGTAGGTTAAAAAATGTCAGTTTAGCGTTTGCATACTGCGTTTATGTGTGTTTGCGTTTATTATTATTATTATACAGTATTTATATAGCGCCAACAATATGCTCAGCGCTGTACATTATAATGGGAGACAGTACACGAGACAGTACAGTAACAATACGATTCAATACAGGAGGGGTTCAAGAGCCCTGCTCCTTGGAGCTTACAATCTAGGAGGAGGGGATAGTGGTACAGGAGGAAATAGCTGTGGGGATGGAGTGGTAGGAAGAGTGGAGGAGTTCAGTAATTAGCTGAGGGCGGGGTAGGCTTCCCTGAAGAGATAGGTTTTCAGAGTGCACTTAATGGTGAGGAGAGTAGGTGACAGTCTGATGGATTGGGGGGAGTTCCAGAGGATGGGGGAAGCCCTGGAGAAGTCCTGGAGACGGGAATGGGAGAGAGGAGACCAGGGAACTAGAGAGTAGGAGGTCTTGTGAGGAGGAGAGTACGTTTCGGGTGGTATTTGGATACCAGATCAGTGATGTAGTTTGGGGCAGTATTATGAACAACTTTATAAGTCAATTAGCATTTTGAATTTTATCCGTTGGGCAATCGGAAGCCAGTGGAGGGATTGGCAGAGGGGGGTGGCGGATACAGACGGTGAGTAAGGTGGATGAGTCTCGCCGCAGAATTCAGGATAGACTGAAGCGGGGATAGCCTGCGGTGGGGTAAGCCGATGAGGAGGGAGTTACAGTAGTCAAGGCATGATATAATGAGGGAGTGAATGAGTTGCTTAGTGGTTTCGGGGGTTAGGAACGGACGTATTTTGGAGATGTTGCGGAGGTGAAGTCTACATGAGTTTGTCAGCGATTTTAGAAGCGTTTTTAAAAGATAACCTCAGGAGACCTTCCCAAATGCCCAGAATGCACTGAAAAATAGTAAAAAATTAACTATTTCAGACATTTTTAGAGAAATAGAGAGAGCAGAAGCAGAGAGAGAGCAGTATGTGTTGAGATGACCTGTCTTTTCTGGTTGTACTCACTATGGATCCCATCATGAGCATAATGCAGCACGTTCTACCTATTTTTTCCTTCACGTGAAACCTGGAACTGTTTGTGCTGGTGTACCGATTCCTTTTGAATACATGGAAAATGCTTTGCATGCATTTCTGATGATGAAAAAAGTCTCTGGACAGCATCTGGACATGGAACAGTTAAAAAACGCTTCTAACCGCAAACGCCTATAAACACGGTTAACTGTGTTTACAAGCGTTTGGCATTTGAAACACCAGTAAAATCTACTCCTGAACGCAAGTTTGGTGCGTTAAAAAAAACGACTGTAAACTCGACTGCCTGTAAACGACTGTAAAAAAGATGTGCACATGGACACATAGGAAAACATTAGGGAGAGTTCAGGGGCTGCTGAAAAAAAAACGCTGAACAGCTCCTGAACATCATTTTAGCAGCTGCAGTGTTCATGAACCCTTATACCTGAAGTTGGTAAACTTAATATTCACTATGCCCTGTAGTAGATACTGCTGTGCCACACAATTCACAGAGCCTGCCTTCTGAACTACAGAGGTGCTGAGAGGAGGAGTTTCAGGAAGCGGAGTCAGTACAGGAATCACTGCTTCCAGGCAGCAAGGCACCATGGGATATGTAGTCTTAAAATTGAAAGTAAACGGCAGAGGAGACGCTGCAAAGCATGCAGGGAAACCAGGAATTTCTGGAAAGAGATGGCCAGCATGTAGGTGGGGTGTCCACCAAAGTTTCAAAGTCTGGGAGGAAATCACACACAGTCTGATGTTACCCTGAATTATACCACATTTTTCCATACAGATTAGTAGTAATAAGTACTGACAGTCCGGAAGGCGCTGATATAAGGCAATGCAAGAATTGTGTTTTCCCAGTGTTACCAGAATTAGGCCTGTGTTACTGGATGGCGGCTTCCGCTAGAGGAGTGGCGGTTTGCAATGTATCAAGGCAATGCTGTATTGCTGACTGAGGGGACCTCACATTCCTTTTCCGGTCACCAGGTGGTACCCACCATGCAGATGTCCCTGTTCTGACCCTACTTGCCAGGAACCTTTTCTTGTTTTTATTCCCTTTCCATAACCAGTGGGTACCTGTCAATGACCTGCCTCTTGCCACACCCAAATGACACAGGTCACCTTATTTAAAAGGTCCCACATCAAGATGGCTGTATGAGATCTTCAGAGATTTCAGCATCCAATCAGACAGCCATCTTCACTGAGAAGACTGATGGAGTCCATCAGGGAACAGGTCTCTTAACAAACTCCTTGTCACCTGAGATAAAGCACAGTGCCACCTACAGGTTGGAGGAAAGCCTGCACCTGCCTACAAGCAGACAGGCAACACTCACAACATGAAAGATTGTTCAAGGAAGCTTAGCAAAAATAACTATTGTTTGTATTGTTATTACAATGCACTAATGGTAAAACATAATTCACAGATTATCCTTAAAACATAATGGCATATTGATAAAATCAGTAGAAAAAGATGTTCTATCCTCCAGTATGATTATTAAAATACAATGCACATCAACACTCCACAAGATCATCTGAATATAATAGCTAACTCCCCTTAAAAGTGCAATAAACAAATTGTGCACAGGATCAATGACAACCTGTTTTGGGGACAACATCCACTTCTTCAGAACCAAGTAGTCAGGTTTCTCTATACTGTTACAGTCAGTTGGGTTTATAATTATCTGTATAGTCAATAAACAATTACCCAGTAAGCATATGTACAATATAGGTGAGAAGCAAATTTAATGTTGTAATGTCTTCTATTAATTAAAACAAAACTGCAATGAGATCAAATCTTCTCTGTCCCCCTGAAAAACCCATCTCTTAGCCCACCCCAGACAGCACAGTGCTAGGAGTCATGGATTCAGCTGCAGATGAAACAAAAAGGGCAGCCAGAGGGTTCAGCACAGGTACTGTAAGTCTCCCAAAAAGTAACAGCCCAGGTCAAAACATAATCCCTCCACCCTGGCGGACTTCACAGGAAAGCTGGGTAATGGTCCAGACTCTTCCTCTTCCCTAATCATGACCTATAAAGCCATCTTTGCATAAGAGGGTGATCTTGGTTGGGTTTGTCCTTATGTTAAATTTTTCAACTTTGGGTGGAGGGGACATGTTTTGGTCTGGGTGTTCACCTTTTAGGCATTTTTATCTGTAGTGACCCCTTTCTGCTTTGTCTGCAGCCTGATCTACAAATGTACTGATCTGAGCACTGTGCCATCTGAAGTGGGGGGCTGAGGGGTTAATTTCTTTTGGAGACTGAGAAGTTTTGATCTCAATGCGCATTTTGTAAGTAATAGAAGACAATACAACATAAGATGTGCTACTTATCTGTATACAAATCTGCATTTTGATATTGTACATATGCTCACTGTGTAATTGTTTATTGACTACATAGATTATTATAAGGCAACTGATTGTAACTGTATGAAGACATTTGACTTCTTTGGGCCTGATGAAGAGGGCATTGTCCATGAAACATGTTGGCATCAATCCTGCACACAATTAAATGAGCAGTTTATTGCGTGTAGCTGTCCATATGTTTTCCTACTGATTTTGTAAATAAACCATTATTTATTACATGTGACACATATGATCTTAAGCACTAAAACTTAATGCAAAACTTGAAGGAGAAGTATGGCCAAAGCTTTTTTGGCCATACTTCTCCTGGGTGTCGCAGGAGTGCACTTAATTCTGCACTCTTGTGACCCAGATTCAGCCAACAGCTGGCTAACCCCTACTGTCGGATGACGTCACATAACAGGTCCAGGCCCTGCAGGGATCCCAACAGTAATGTTGGGGTCCAATCAGATTCCTGACTAGCACTTGGCTCAGCCTCTCAGCTCCCACCCCCTTTACAGTCCGGCGCTCCAGTGAGCCTGTCAGTCACTGCTCTATGCTCAGAGTGGACCCGAGCACTGAGCAATCAGCGGTCTATGATTGCTCAGTTCTCTGTGTGGAGCCGGTGAGAGACAACTGCAGCATCCGATCCATGCAAGAGCCATCTAGGTTAGCATAAATGTTTGTTTTTTTT